TTGTCTGTCCTGTCAGCTTGATTATCTCATTGAATATGAGGATGTTATCTTGGATATTCCTACCCTGGATGAACCCGGTTTGGTTTGGGTGAATGATGTCTGTCAATAATGGTGCCATGCGGTTGGCTAGTGCTTTAGCCATCAGCTTATAGACCACCGTGAGCAAAGCGATAGGCCTATAGTTTCTGATTTTGGTTATTTCCCCTTTCTTGTAAAGGAGAGTCAACACTCCTTGCCCTACCAATTCCCCTGTCTGACCTGAGTTCCAAACCACCTGATAATACTCCATGAGATTCTGTGAGATGCTTGGCCACATAGCTTCCCCAAAAGAATTTTTTGGGTAACCAATCTATGCCCATAGTTTTTTCCTCTTCCATTTGCATCAAGGCTGTCCATATCTCCTCCTTAGATAAGAGAATGTCTAAAGTATCTCTTTGCCGTTCTGCGAGGGTTTTGTTAAGCGGGCGTAAAAATTCATCTATTTTCTCCATTCGTTGCGCCTTAGTTTGATTCCCACACTCTGAAGTAAACAACGTCTGGAAAAAAATTTTGCTATTTTTGTGCAGTTAGCTGTAGACGTGAGTAGGGGCCCTTGGTTACTTTTGGGGTCCTCCAAGACCTGAATTATCGATTTTCCTGACTTGGCCTTGGCCATTGCAAAGAACCTCACATCCATTGCTCCCTCCATGTTGTGCTTTGAAAGTTTGCCCCGGATCCTAGCCTAACAATGAAATTATCTCAAAGAAAAACAAAATCCATAGCACAAATGTTATCAGTAGTACCATATTCGCGTTGATCTGGTATAAAGTGGCATTCTGGCCACTGACCATCAACCAACTGACAAGACTAAGGCAGGCAACAACGCCCTATATGTGGAAAAATGACCATGAGGATACCCACTGCATCAAAAAAATAGCATGGGACACCCTCATCCAACCAAGGGATTGATCATTAGTGGTTCAGTATCAACAGAAAAAATGTAAGGTTTAAATTACTAAAATTACAACATTGGATGTCATAATTCCACGTGTTGTTAATCACATTTTAATTTGTTTCCAACAGGTGTTTGAATGTAATCGTATGAGATGTGATGAAAACCTTCATTAGAGAGATATAGGTAATGGGGTCTGTCGCTATTCCATTTGTTGAGCATGAGTATCTCTTATATTGAGGGTGGTCATATTACACGTTGGCCAGATAATTTTACACGTTGGATGCATGTTGGTTATAAGTTGAATATGTGTTGGAGGGCTCCTAGTAAACACATAACACACGACTACAAACAATTGATCATGCATTTGATGTGCGTAGCTAAAGTGTATGAAAACTGTTTTTTGTCGTTTACCAACCGGAATTTGAAGCAAGAAAAAAAAAAAATACAAAAACACGCACACACACACACACACACACATACACACACACACACACACATACACACACACACACACACACATATACATATATATATAATGTGTATTTCATGAAACACATCATTAGTTATTAGTTGCAATATACCACTCGTACAAGAAAAAAAACATAATAATTTTTCGACACCCCCTTTGAAGTTTTTTTTAATTTTATTTTTATTTTTATTCAACGATTAATATCCAAGGACGCATACCATATGAAGGTCTCATCCCTTCCCTACCTCCAATCTTATTCATGGGGAACATCATGCGCTTAAAACTAAGGTTATTATACCACCATACGGTTTCCCATTATATTTTCAAAGATGTCGCGTACATGGTACCGCAACTTTCGGGACTTGGTCCTAAAGGCAAATTTGTTGGTAGTGCCAGGTCACAGCAGATCCACGTGACACGTCGTTCTTCTTTTTTATGGCGCACAAAGCCTTTACAGCCCCGAAGAGAATTGCTTGAAAAATACTTGTGTTTTAGAAAACTGTGTTGATTGTTTTTTGTCTCTCTCTCTCTCTCTTTATTAATAACCTTTTATTCTCCCTTATCCATTGTTCCGGGGAAATTCGAGGGAAACACATTTTCTTTCCCTATGTCATTTTTTCCCTCATCTCAATCCGAAGACACTTCCCAAGTGCTATTCTTTTTGTAGTTGTAGGTGTTATAAACCGACCTCGTGTGAATGAGGGTGAGGCTAGGTGAGGAAAAAAAAGCATAAGGGAGGCATTTGCTGATACGGATATGTATATCTGCTGATCAGTCGGTGAAACTCCAACTTAGCAATCCCATCATTTGTTGTTCAACGCTCCTTCTTTACCTACAGTTCACCCGACAACTTTGTTCGACCATATATTTATAGTATTTGTGTTAATAAATACGTTGATGAAACAACATTTTTGTTTTGAAGATGTTATGAGTATGACATGATTGTGAAAGTGTTCAATGTCAAAATATTACATGGAATAGTTGTCAAAAAGTACACAGTACGCTAAGACACACCAAAATACCAGTGAAGTCATCGTATACAACGTGTATTTTGACTTGTGTACACCGAGGAAATTGACCTTATGAAATATAGCAGTTTGATCCGAAATACCAAAGTAGGGACTAAAAGTGCATCATAATTTTCGACTTGTGCAATATATTGAATTTTAAGCATGATTTTCAAGATGATAACTTCTTCAACTATTTTTATATGTATTTGAAAAAGAAAAGAGAGAGAGACAAGAAAGAGACTGAAAGGTGAGTTGTACTTTGAGTCATAATGCATATCTTTCCTCTGAAGTACCACATACCTTTTCAACAGTGAACATTTTTCTATTCGTTTGGAGCTTCATCGCTTTTGCTTATTAAATGTGGTCTATTTTTTTTTCTCCATAACGATATTTTCATATACAAAAGAGGGTTTGAAAAAACATGCATATACGCTTTGTATACATTTATTCTTTTTTGCTGTTTTTTTTTTTTTTTTTAAGACAGAGTCGCCCAAAAGCGTTTAAAGAAAGTTCATGAAATAAATTTTGATATTTTTATTCTATTGCACTCCAAAGTGCGGCGTACAAGGGCAAAAGTCGATTGTCTATGAAGTTGAGTTAATCCTTCCCTTCCAGGGAAGCAATCAATGCTCAACGCTCAATCTTCATTCTTGTCGTACAGGGAAGCTGTCTCTATGGAAGCAGTGACCGAGACTCATCCAACCCTAATGGGAAGAGGCGTGTGTCTGTGGTGTATTCAAATTTATAATGTGAGCCTTGGGTACTGGACCCTTGTTAAAAAAAAATAAAATAAAAAAAATAAAAAAATAAAAAATCCAAAGGGGAAATAATAGACTCTGCGCAATAAATCCAAATATTGATATTTAAAGTCCTCATCAGGTTGTTACAAGGAAATGACATCCCATGGGCCCCGTATGTGCACATCCAAATAGCATGCTTGGCCCCCCGCTCACCAGCTGACCATCCGGTACACCCTCTCCAGTGGCTTACAAACAAAGAGTGGTCCATCCAGACTTACCCGAGATACCAACCTGACACAAGCCCAACATACAGGGCAAGAAAGGATATACAAATAAACCTGCAGTGGCCATCGATGCTCAGACTGTGGAGGGAGATAAGCCCGACGAGATTAAGGACACCGTTGAGATGGCACGAGATCAGACGACAACCACTCTTCGGGCACCCCCAAATAACATCCCAGGTGGGGCAACCCTTCTCCCTCCGCACAAAATCCAAATGTCTGAAATGGGTGAGGAGAGGCATCTATACAATAGGAGAACTCTGGAGCGACACCCTCATCGATTGGAAATCATAAGAATAAATTAAAACCAAAATGGGTCCCCTCCCCAACTTCTTGCAGGAGCTTAGGGAGCTGCAGGAAGCTGTCCCCCTGGCTTGGGTTGGCGCCTTAAGAAAAGGCCGGGATCTACTCCAGGGGGACTGAGAGTTTCATACAGATGCCCTCCATCTCCCAATGACGGTATATAGGGTGCACAAAGTGCAAGCCAATATGCTGCACCTGGAGGCCCATTGCCCAGTGCTTCGGGGGCACGATGGTCACCAATCCACAGACAGGAAGATCTAGATTGTGAGAATCCCCCCTCAGACGTCATAAGGGTGAAAGTGGTGGACGACAAGGACGACACACGCTACGTGTATCAACCCACTATCCCCCTGTCCCACCTACTCTTTGACCCGGACAAATGAGAATGGAAGATGGGATCTGAAACTACAATGAAACCATGGCAGTACACGGTTAAGAATGGATATAGGACTCAAAGGAAGCACGCTCCGGTGATGGACAACATCCGGAGGAGATGGGAACGGGACTCCCGACTGTCCAGGGAGGATTTCCACTCCCTCACCTGGTCCGCCTATACTCACGTTCAACCAACAAACCACAGGGCGCTGCAGTGGCAAATATAACGTAGATGCCTCCCAATTCCGGACTGGCTGACCGACATAACAATTTTGGAGCACAATGGTCTGATTTGCCCGTTATGCTCCTACTGTGAGCTCGTTGTACCCAAAAAAAGGGCAACCTTGGAACACTGCCTTCAGGACTGCTCTATGGCTGCGAGCCTTTGGAGATGGTGGGATGCAACTTGACACTACTTCACAGGCCACCGCCTGACCTGGACGGTGCAGTCACTCCTATTAGGCATCCTCCCGCAAGGAGCCGAAACCGAAGATTGGTCGCCATTTATAACCAATTTGTTTCACTACACACGCCTGACTATACTGATGGCAGCCTGGAGAATGAGATGCTCGCATGAAAGGCAACAACAGACCTTTGACTATCCGCAAGCCAAGGCGTCTACAGCGGATACAATAACTGTGATGACCCAAGATGACTGGAAACACTTGCACGGCAGACTTCTGCGACAGGAGGATGAACAAAAACGACAACAACTCATCCATAACATCTCTGCGACTTGGGTCGACCGTAACCACAGACTGTGTACATTAGACCAAAATAACCCTCTTCAATGGCAACCCTGGCTCCCCACTGAGAACCAGTGGGACTTCCTACCGATAGACAAATTTAACATAGACTACGAGCCCACCAACTTCGTGCTCAACTCACCTGACCCCCTCCCTCCTGAATCCTACTCGAAATCCTTCTCCCCCACCGCCCCCCCTGCCCAATCCGCTCCCTTCACACTCCTCAGCCGGCCAGGAGGTCATCTTCGTCTCAATGGATCTCCAGAATATCTGACAAGTGCCATGGCAACATACCACGAATGCCACGGGTACCTTGATGGAACCAGAGGAAAGGACTGAGAGAGACAAGGGCAGAAACCGACAACTTATGGGGTTCAATGACATCTGATAGGGCTAAAAGGGTTAAAAGAGGTTGAGAGACATAGGCAGGGGTTCTGGTGGTTCTGGTGGTCTTAGGTGGATGATAGGGGGGTGGGAGCTTGGGGTAAAGGGGCTTGGAAGGCAAGAGGGCAAGTGGGAAACTGATAGTAGAAATGATGGTAGAATGTGACAGCCAAAACGAACAGCGACTGACAAATACGTGAGAAACACAGAGAGATACACAGAGAGAAACTGAGAGAAACAGAAGGAAACAGAGGCAAGAAACACAGGGGAAACACACGATGGAATAAGAGAGAATAGAATAGAAAAGTGGTCTTCATACTCCTCACACACAACCAACAAACAGACACTCCTGCCTGGATCTCCATCACTCACGACTATGGACTGTACAACATTCGAATATAATCTGTACCACACCACAAGACTACCTGTCCTGATGACTGTATGGAGAGCAAGATGCGCCTTTGAGCGCCGCGAACACACATTCGGTCTTCCTGAAGCCAAAATAGAAATCACACAGATCATTCGGGCCAATATCACAAAAGCATGGAAGGCACTCAGGGAGTCACTGACCTCTATCACAGACCAACAGCAAAGGGACGACGAGATCAAGACATTCAAGGAAACATGGCTTGACCCTCAACGAAACATAGCGGACGTGGACACGCAGCACAACCTCAGATGGGGCCTATGGCCTCCCAGAGATCGCCAATGGCCCCTAACACCAGCTGGGGATTTCACAATCCCCCGAAAAACTCCCCCGCTAGTTCTGCTGAGCCAGGATGAGAGGCGGGACACGATCATCACCGACGGCACTCTGCAACTGGATCCTAGCCACAATCCGCTGCAGTCCTCTCAAGAGCCGCCTGACGCCCCTTCCCTTCACCAGTCGCTGCCATTGCAACCCCCCCCCGAGACCCCTCCCCCCCCCCCCCCCCCCCCCCCCCCCC